TCATCATTGTCCATGCCCACAGTAAATGGCCAGGGGTGATTCCAATGGTGAGAACCACCGCAGCAGCCATTGTCTCCTCTCTCCGACAGATATTTTCTCGTTTCGGTGTTCCCCACACGTTGGTTTCGGACAATGGTACGCAATTTACCTCTGAATTTGTTGTCTTCTGTCGCAGAAACACGATCGTCCATGTAAGATCTCCACCTTTCCACCCACAATCGAACGGACAAGCGGAACGCTTTGTGGATACACTCAAAAGAGCTTTGCTAAAAATGAAGGAGGAAGGTACCTTGGAGGAGATGCTTGACACATTTCTTCTGACGTATCGCACAACTCCGAATCCGCAGACACCGAACGCACTATCTCCGGCTGAAACTTTGTTTCAAGGGAAAATCCGTGTGCCGCATGATGCCCTCAGACTCAGGAAGGATCAGTTACTGTCCCGCAACTATCAGATGGAGCGTCAATTCAACATCCGACACGGTGCTCGGAAGCGAACCTTTAATGTTTGTCAACAAGTTCTGTCGAGAGCTTATCGCATCAACTATCCTAAGTGGGCTATGGGCCGTATGCTATACAAGCGTGGTAACGTGATCTACGGTATCCAGGTTGGGACGGCAATTTGGGTAAGACATACCAATCAGTTGCTAGAGGCAGGGACTGGCGAACAATTGCAACAACAGGTACCAGCAGCACAGTTACCTCTGGACATACTGACTGACGCGGGTGAAACGAAGACTCCCCAACATGCCCCAACACAGCAACCACAACATTCGCCCCGTAACCTAGCAGCACAGAAGCCGAAGCTGCGACGCAAATTCGTGTCACCCATGCAAGTCAACCCCAAGCTGAAATCGTACGACACAATTCAAAGGGGAAAGTGTTAGGAAGGAATACGCGATGCGAACAAGCCAGGACCCCATCGTCGCGGCAGACAAGCCAAACTCACCCGCCCTGATTGGGGCGAACAGAGAGCCAACTAGGAGAAGCGGGCAATTAACGCGAGAGCGGCGTTCTTTTATTGGCTGTAAGTTGACCTTTCCAAAGCTTTCCACGTTCGCTTTAAATACCATTCACGAACTTTCCATTTCACCTTTAAAATGAACGGTGTGATTCACGAATACATCTTTGTTGCTCTGCTCGTCCGATCCGGTCTTCTCTCTGTCCTGTGGGGGGCCAGCGACTTCGGATTTTGATTGGGAATCAAGCGTCCATTCAGGCGAGGGGCGAACACTTCACTAGCACTACGAATTGTCTATCCTAAACAGACCGGCCATTCGCTGGGTTACTGTGCCCTGCCTCACGCCAAACAGCTACCACTAATATAACAATACACAGCTACGTACGCATGTTCTTCATTAATTACAGCAAAACTAAAATCCTCTTAGTTAGTCTTAAAGTGGTCCCAAATTTCCACTGTTGCGAGCTACTAATCTCAGTCGATCTCCGGATCACGCCTCATTGACATTCCCTGGCTGTAACTGCGCCCTGCTCCATTGTGGACCAGACTATTGAGTAAATTTTGCTCAAGTGAGAGTCTCCTAAGCCAACCTCCGTCTAGCTGCTGTCTTGGGAGTGGCCTCCAATAGTCATCTTCACGAGATTATGCAGTCGCTCACAGTTCTCTGTTAGCTATCAACTATTTTATTCTTTCTCGGTTTCTGATCCTTTGGATATCCCAAGTTTAAGTACCAGCCTCCGCCTTCTGTTTTGCTACTTATGCTAAATGTGTGCCTAGTTCTCACCTCACATCGATTCTTTTCACATTCCTGTGTCCACGTAAAATCGGTCACCGGGCTGTCGCTATTCACACACCGCACCCCACCAAAGTTCATGCTTACTGTCTCCGAAATAATCGTGCAAGCCAATAGCGTCTTCAACATCGTTCCGTTCACCGGTTCGTAATTCTTTTAACGACGAATATTTTCTGCGATTCGATGATGACGCCGAGTGGATGCCTACAGGGGTTTCCATTGCCCTTGTTTCACTCAACATACCGTTTCCTAGCTCAGCTTCATTCCCGAATAAGAGCTGGTGGCCACCTACAAAACTCGGCACTATTTATCGGAAGGTTTACAATACAAATCGATTTCTCCTAGACTAGTATTACCGCTACGCTTCACTCTTGAGGTAACAGCTTCTTCTGCACATTTTATTGTTGCTGTACCATGTCATACTGTCGAAGATGACCTACATCAACAGTTGTCCGTCCCCATTTGTGTGCATCGCAAAAAGGATATCGTGATCGTTGCGCTTAGCATAATGGCTCAGTTGGACCAACTATCAAGGGCAAAACAATGCTTTCGAGACCCTCTAGTAGCAGGCATATTTTTGACGGATAATAGCCTACTTTGGCATTTTTTGGCTGTACTCTTCTTACCGATATCCCTATTTCCCTGCACAATCGTTCGCATTGCATTATGTGGTACTCATTGAACAACAGCCTACTCCGAAACAAAAACAAACGGTGCGTTGCCGTCCGCTGCAGTTGATGTATGTCAAAACGATATTTTTGTTTTATATGAACCGCTTCCCTTTGCTATTATCATGCCACAATGTTCAGTGACCTCAGAGCAAAGCACCGAATGGCGAAGCTACGTATTTTTCAGATACACTTACACTCCATTAAACAGCATAAATAATAAACGGCATGTGAATCGAGATAGCCTACTAAGAGCAGTGATGACGGATTTGCAGCTGCTTGCCCTCCAAATGTCAGGCATCTGAATTGTCAGCGGATTTCTATAGCTTCTGCCTCTTTCATTGAAGTGGATGGTCCGGTTCCATCATCCGCAGTAGCCAGATTTAGCGTCTGATTAGGAGCATCACGATTGATCAGCAGTGATTGTAACTGGCGCGTGCATATGAAATGGTAGTTGCACGTGACCTTTGGAACAGAAAACTACTATTATACTATAAACCTACCACTGCCCATGAAAGGTCTCGATGAGTGACTGATCCAATTCAACAAAAACGTCGACATGAAAGCTGAACGGAAAATACGAAAGCACAGTCCAGCGTTTTCTATCTGCTTCCATTTTTGCCAAATCACTCGAGCCCACCAGAAATCTCAACACTTCACTCCCGATTTTTGGAGTGCTCCCTACTGGGTCTGTGTCGCCGAGGCGGACGTAGCCTCACTCTCCCGACGATCTCCTATCATTGCTGAAAGAAGCTGGTAGCATACTAACGTTTGCTCTGTCTGGCCTATCAAATGGTGCATTGTGGGGGTTATTTGGGTTTCGTGGCTAAGGCCATCATCTTCATCTCCGGTGTCGGCCCTTAGGCTTAAGGATCACAAGCGTACCTTGTAATCCGAGGGCGCGGGTTTGAGCCTGCTTAGGGACCGTGTGACCCTCACAATTTCCTTGGCCACTGGTGCTGGTTGCGTGGCAGTGAAGCCTCGGTACTGCGTACCGGCCTACTGCTAATCCTATTTTCTTGAATTCGGTACAGTCCAGAGTATGATGTCCGAATACATGCATCACCCTTTGCTGATTCATTGGCCACCGGAAAATGGAACCAGTAAGCACCTGAGGCACATCGAACGCTGTTGAAACGACGCCTTACATACAACCAACCTACCATATTTGTCCATTTAGTTGATCGCAGCCATTTGTGGCATTGCCTTCTCCTGAAAGACGCACCGGATTTCCTTCATATCAAAATTCTTGTACCCTGACTTCTGAGGCCAAGCGTGATGCGTCATAGTTGTTCTGTCTGTTGTACTTGAGAGATCTTACGCGGCAATGCAATATGCTTTTCTTCTAGAGTGAAAACTACTGCGCACGACTGACTGGTACATGTGGGTCATGCCCACTTCATATGCAGGCACTGCTGAGTGGACTGGTGAAGAACGATGTAAACATCGGCTTGTTTTTCGCATATCCAAAACGGAAGCGGCTGCTACAGGTCTGGCTTGACACGTTACCCGCTTTCACGATCTGTGAACAGCCTATAGGAGTGGTCTTTCGGTTTGTCTATCTGAGTGGCTGATTCACATCTGTTGATGCGGGGACGGAGGAAGTCACTGCAGCTGTTTAGACGTCCATGTGGATACGCACTAGTCGTGGAATAAGTGATGTTCGATCAAAATCATTGTGTCCGATGCTGCAATGACACCTCAGAGTAAGTCACAAAAATGACCTTCGAGTTTATGGCATTTCACGTTTATGCTACCTCGGTTATTTCTTTTTTGCAAATTTCGCAAATCCCCGGCGGCAATCTTTGAGGGGAGTGCGTACACTCTCCAGTTGATGCCTACTTTTCTCATCTTGAACCACGTTGGTTTTCTGCGTAATATCCTTAGCAACTCAAGCACCTTCCTCGATTTGTGTTGATTGATGAGTGTAACAACGGAACTACGCCAAATCAAACTACGTCGCACGAATTGTATATAGGTCTTACAACTAGATTGCATACACGGTCTGAGCAGAGAACTGGTAGGCTAGAGGAATACGTAATATAATCTCGTAACCGTGATTCTAACGCGCAGAATAATATACAAAATAGATCTCATGACTGGATATGCAAAATCTAACCGACGACAACAAACTCCATTGACTTGTGAACACGAAGTTCTACGTTAAACATAGGTAATGAGAGCGATTTATCGAATTCACCCTCGTAATCATCATCACACAGACACCAAGCGATTCCGTGTCACCTAGGTTCTGATACAAACAATTATCTCCGCCTGCGTACATAGTTGCCTAATATCCCCAAATTCCTTCACACGGTCTTCAGTCAGTGCAGCAAACATACATGTCCATTCGTCTGTCAAATGGTGACGATCCCTATGCAGTGCTCGGCTGTGATTGGCACTAAGGTCTTAGATGATCGACCGCCTATTTGCAACACGGCTTCCAGTGAAGAGCTTACGGCCGCGTTTCGTCCTTTTATGCTGGGCTGTTGTTTGATTTCGTTTTACCTCAAATGTTTATCCGAACAAATTCGCATTCTCACACAACACAATTAATCGCATTCACTTTGTCTTTTAGCACTGATCGGATCGAACGACCGTGGTATCAGGAAAACGCCTCAGCCGAGGAGAATGAGAATGCGCGTGAAGCCTACCGCTCTCTCATGACTTTCGTGTTGCGCAGACCTGATTCCGAGGCCTACAGACGTTTTGCCAATGAGGTGAGAGCTCGCGCCCTACGGGATTATCACACACAATTTTATGATTCCGAGGTGAGTATTATTGATGTGTGCCATTGGATTCTCTGCAACCTTATAAGTCCGGCTGTCTGCTACTCTCGCATGCTAACGTGCATGCTCGTAATTATCACTGCCAGCCTGTGATTTGCCATTTCCCAGTTGGTTGGCGTTTAACTCGTTCATTGTACTTGTGGCAACAAGTAGGTGAGCCGAACTGAGAGTAGACTATCCACTAGGATTTCAGAGCTCATTCCAATCAATATGCTCGTGAATAGTTCCAAACCTGCCGGTTACCTCCACTGCTCACCACATCCTAGATTGCTCTAGATAGCAAAATCCTCGCGAATCATTCAGCAAAGTTAACCGAGAACAGTACTCGCCTACTACCAATTGCTGAAGTTTGGGCCATTCGGCGACCGACACAATTTGTGCAAATAGACTGAGTTAATGACCAACGTCGCATTGTCTTGGTACGGTCTGTTGATCGTTTTAAGTGTAAAGCGAGTGACCTTGAACAAGGTTTCCTTTTAAACGTTTCTCCACGGACTGTATGGTAACAGCTGAGGATAATACCGGGAATATCTGAATTCAGAGTATCCTGTTGAAATGTTGTCCCTCGCTGCTGTCTTGAAGGTTGGGGTTTTAATTTACGACGGGCTCCATCCCTTAGTACTTGCTAGGTACCGAGTAGCTTCCAGGTTCACCGCCACAGCAATTCAGCCTTTTCGAATTGCCTACTGCACTCGAGCGTTTTCATACTAGTGGATCCTCTTGTGTGCGTTGAAACGGATTAACCCGTAACTGTAATGAATCTGTCTCGGATGAATACTATCCAGTGGAATTGGTGTTTTCACTATGCAATCGACCTCCATCTACAGCATGTGACTTACTCGCATTCACTGTCGTCTGCTGTAGACCAGCCTGCAACCAAGTGAGGGATGCGGAGTATGGAAGCCTTCAATCAATCTTATGACACCCAATTTACTTGCTGCAAGTGCACACTCACAACTTCAAAATGGGCAAACTGCGTTAAGCAGAACAGTATCAGGAAGTGACCCATTACAATAGGTTGCCAGGGGTTCGATGTGCAAAATACTCCGTCTAGTTTTTATTGTTGCTGGTGGGATCAGAACCGGTACTCTCTGGCCATGAACACTTTTTCCCGTCACAAAAGTTTCCTCATTTTGCGTCTGTCTTTGTGCCATGCACTTGAGTCTGCACTGTTTGCTCAAGCTGGGTCTGTACTCCGTTTACCAAACGATGTCAACGGATGGATTCAGTCGATGTAACATCAACGCTCAACAGGTCGACTTTTGAGAGGGCAAACCTTGCATCCGACTAGACAGTAAGGTGTCATTTGTTCTGTACATCTCGTGCCTGGTTTTGACTTCATTCATGTATTCTGTTCTAATATTTGCCTAAAATGACCAAACGGTCAGCTTTCCCATTATCCTGATGTGCTCCACCGAGCGACGCTCAAATGTGATCTACCAACCTCCTGTTGCACTGTACCATTCTATGAATGCAGTCTGGGTCGTCGAAGAGGCGCTGTTGGATCATTCCGTCTCTCGGAACGCTGTTCGAGGAGTGGCACAGCCTTCGGAAAAGAGTGTGCATTCTATATCGTAAGTTAGGAGGTCTTGCTCACGAAGCACTCTCGGTTCCCGTGTTAGCTGTCTATTTTCTATCTTAGGCCAACGTACACTGCAACACGCGTGTACATGTGGTGCACGCGTTATACTACTCGGGCATCAAAACGGAACAATAAATGGAAGCCTCAGACATCTGGCGGAGTACAGTGAGATACCAATTTGAGTCCAAGGAGTTGACGCCAGCGGAGTCTGTGCGGTGAGGTGTGCTTGAATAACAAACATATCTCTTCCTGATGCAGTGCTACTTTTCTAGTGTACCTTGGCAACCGCGTTCTCTATGTGGTCATGCCACTGGCGGCGATCCACTACCAATTGCCCTGTCATCTGATGGACTACCAAGATTGCCAGTGGCCAGGTGTTTGTTTTTTAGGTGCGTTGTACCAAAAATTGCTTTTCACTGCTATCAATGTGTAACAACAATGTGTAACAATCTGTAACATGGAGCTAGTATTTCAGACGCGGTCAAATTAACGAGTTTAGCGGGCCACATGGTGTTGACCAGGTTTTAACATGACTCAACATACTGCTGCTTCCTTTCCTAGCCCACACAAACCGGTCCGTCACTTGATTAAGATCACTGTAGGAGTAACCAGGTACCGCCAGTAGCATTGAAACATCCACTTGATCCGGAGTCGAAATTTTTCGATGCCGCCGTCCGAACGACATGCGTCACAAGGTAGTACACAGTGGAGGCACTTTTTGATGCCAGTTCGTTAGCTGTCTGTTGGCTATTTTGCGTACATATGTGTACTTTTCGCTCGTGTATCATCGCTTGTTTTTCATGTGAAAACATGTATTTCAAAGCACGGGCCACTAGACTTCGGTGTTAGTCTTAGCTGGGTGCTGAATTTAATTTTTATGTAGTGTAAACGAATCAATTTATGTGACATTTGACGTGGCTCGTGCCTGTGCTCTCCCACTTTCTGGGCCTGCTTCTATACACCTGTTATCATACCATCATTTAGCTAGTTTGGGTCTGTATTCCAAGGCGCCGCGCGCTGGTACATAGGACTCATGATTTAGCTTGTTCTTCCCCGAACTAATACTTGCATTTATGGGGTGGATACGGCTAATATTGTGAAGATCATTTTGTGCCAAGTAGGCCTCATTTGAAGGAAACAATAACTGCGATAAATAGACAGTAGATTTCCTCCCAGGTCAGCGGGCTTCAACATTAAGTACAGCACTTCGGCGATCGACTCAACCGGTGTCAATATCACTTGCCCAATCTCCTGACCGTGGTAGATTCTGTCGAGTAATGAAATTCCAAGAAATCACACATGATACGGGACAAGGAGCCTGCCCCTGACCACAAGTTTTCATTGCTGTTAGATAACTATCGAAGCCCAATATTGGTCGGTGTCCCTGTGTTCCTTAAAACTACTAAGTGGTCTGTCCTCATAGTGGCTATTGTCGCTCATTATCCCGTGTATGCTACGAACCGCAGGGCGCTGTATCGGACACCTTAAGCTCTTAGCTTCATTGCTGTTGTCTGATCCAAAGTGTCCACGACAGATTGTGTTCCATAGTCTTGTACCCTAACACAGGTGGTCATTGGACCAGCAACTCAACAGTCCATAGCACCGTTTGCTTCTGAACATATCAGTAAATCTCCGAACTCTCCTGGAGTCACTGACGTTCATCTTCCGTGCTTTAGGAAGAAGTGAGGCTACTAGTTCACATGCCATGCGCAATCTGATCTAAACGGTAATGGGGACAGTTCCGGTATCTTCCCCTTAATATGACTGGTGATCCCCGTCTCCGGATTTGCTTATCACTGGGACTGCGAACCGTCACATGACGCCTGCGCCTACAGAGGGACCATGGGTGGCTTGCACTGCATTATCTACTCAGCTCCATCCGCACACCCTACATTCAGTGTAAACCCAAAGGAATATCACCGGTAGGCATGTGGAAGAGAGCCATGTTTCATCAACGGAGCCGGCCCACACGCCTTCAACAAGCACAGCAGCAGTATTGCTGTCTATCAATGTGGCGAATCATACGTGTCAAGGTGGTGGCTGGACCGTAGTCCGCTCCACACTGGATGCAACCACACTTTGAGCCTAGCACGGCCACGAGGACCGCACAGCCCCCAACAACGATTCACAGTCGCCTGGATGCCAGTAATCGAGGTGGAGGGTTTTAGACAAGTAGGCACCTTGTCAACATTCACATCAAGTGCAGCCGTACCAAGGATCTCAAATAACCAACACAGAATATGAAGGAAAATGAGCACGAAGATCGATACGGAATATGCAGCAGAATAACAGAACTGAGTGAATCAAATAAACTGGAATACGTTTTGCCCAGATTAAGAAGATCTATTGTAAGTGTAAGCTGCTGTAGTACAAGTATGTTGAAGAAGCATGATGTGCGCAACATTAGCCTCACCATGCGGCACCATACGAATACGGAAGAAAAGAAACACGCAAACTGCACGGTAACTATGCGGTAGAATGACAAAACTGAGGAGAAAACAAAGAAGACAACAGCAGTACGCCGGTACGCAGTACCAACGCTTCGCTGCCGCGCAACCACCCCCGGTCGCACGTGTGCTAAGAATGCTGCGAGGGTCGCCGTGCACCTTACGCAGGCTTGAACCCACGCCGCCAGTTTACAGGACAAGCTTGTTACCTTTAAGCTATGGGCCGGCCAGAGCTGAGCGGAGCAAAATGTGTATACATCCTATTATGTTGTTAGGATGTTCTTGAGTATGTGCAAATGTAAACCACGGGGTATCAACCGACTAACGTCGAAAATGAAGAGGCGAGAAGAAACGCGCGAAAGTGAGAATATGCGGAGGATAAGCAGAAGTGTACAACTAAGGTCAAGTGGATTAGGTCAGGTTTAGCATAACGCAGAAATAGTTAAATGCAGCTCACTCTACCCCAACTGCAGTGAAACATAATAAACGCAATATTCGTGGTTGGCGACATCCGGTTCCGGACTTGGTAGTCACTGCGGCCTCCATAGGGCAACCACATGACGCCTGCGCCTACAGAGGGATCATGAATGGCTTGCGCTGCACCACCCACAGCTCCATCCACACACCCCATGTTCAGTGTAAAGCCGAAGGAATGCGATCGGGAGTCATGTGGATCTAAACCAAGTTTCATCAACAGAGCTGGCCCACCCTCCTTCAACAAGCAGAGCGGAAGCATTTATGCCTAAATGGGAAGTCATGTGTACCAAAAGTATTCAAGGTGGTGGCTGTGCCGTAGGTCGTTTTACCTGGGATGGAACCACTCTTCGAGCCTAGCACCGTCACGAACACTATGTACCCCATCTTCACTAGCAACGACTAACTGTCTTCTGGAGATGGTGAGTAACGGACGGGTAGGCGCCTTGTCAACATTCCGGTCAATCGCACTTAGACCC